GACCCTGCACCTTTCGCACGCCTGGGAGAAGCTTCTCAGCGTGTTGAACACTAGGATAGCACATTCTCATCCTGGGACCTGAGGGACCCTAGTGAATGCAAGGTCCACATAGTCCCCCTGGAGGGGCGCAGTGGTAAAGAAATCATTAGCCAGAATGACTTCACAGAATTCGAACCTCCCACCTGTGTTTCTCAAGCAAGGCACACCTTCTGTGGGGCATACTACACTAGTTTCCTGTGCTCTCCCAACCCCACCCCAGCTGTTTCCTCCCTGCATGGGGGAGGGACTGCGTCCTCATCAGAGCACCCCAAGGGTTAGCTAGAAGGGTGCGGGGTGTACACACCATGGGGCCCCCTTTGGCCCATCTGAGGCTGGCTTCGAGAGGCCTGAGGCCCCACGTGATACCAGGAGTCCTGTTCTCAACACACCACCCAGGGAAACTTGGGGCAAGCGGTGAAAGGCTGACGAGGCTGGGTCAGACGTGGAATTTCTCCTGGAAGGACAGGAGCTGTGGCACCCCTACGCTTTCTGCAGGCCAGCAAGAGTCCATCTTCCTCGGGTAGAGTGAACTGGCCACAGGTGGCCCAGGGCCTCGCCGTGGTGAGAGCCAAAAACACACAGTCTTATCCCGAGAGGGAGCACAGGGCAGCCGGCCGCTGAGCCCACCCTCCGTATCATCCTATCCTCCTGCTCCCCGCAGCGGCTGCCACTCGAGCTGGTCAGGCTTTGACTCCCAGCCGGCTGAGAAGCAAGGATGGGAGAAGAGAAGGTTCAATGAGGCAGCTACACGGTCTCACCTAGGCCCAGGCTCCGGTGGAGACGGTGGCCCCTACAGGTGGGCCTACACCCAGCTCGTCACTTGGAGGGGCAGCAGGACACTCACACCCTCACTCCTCAGACCCCGTCCTCCCTGAGTGCAGTCAGCTCCTCTCCAGTTCCTCACTGCAGTGCATGCAGTGCTTCCCACAGCCAGCGCAAGGCTTTGGGCCAAGTTGCCACTGAAGACAGGGAGGCTGCTGTCCATCCTCCAGTCCTAAGCCTGGCTCATCTTCTCTCTGAGTGATGGACGACACTGCAAGAGCTGAAGGAGAGGCAGCTGAGCAGGGTTGAGGAGGAAGAAAAGCGCCTGGTTTCATCCCCACCCTTGGCAGAGCTGAGGCTCTGCAGAGGTAGAGTGAACTGTCCCCAAGGCTGCCCAGGGCCTCGCCGTGGTGACGGCCAAAAACACACAGTCTTATCCTGAGGAGGACCATAGGGCAGGTGGCCTCTGAGTCCATCATCTGGGCAGAACCAGCCCGCCCAGGTCAGGCACCTCTCCCCAGCCCCAGTCCTGTCTTTTCAGGTCTTCACTGAAAGGGGCCAAATAAGTTTCAAAAAGTTTAAGGAAACCAACACTAAAAAGTAGAAAAATTCACAAATACAGAACCTGCAAATAATGAGGGGTCACTATAACTAGATAATGTACCAGTCAACAAATTAATGGTTTGTGTTTACTTTCAGAAAGGATCATGCTGGCTTAAAATAAAACCATGTATATGGAACACTTAAAACTGGAAAAAAGCTTAGGAAACTCTGTCTTGTGGAGAAGGAAACAAACCAGGAAACTGGGTGAAGTCACCTCAGGAGGCTGGGCCAAGGCCAAATGGGCATGTAAATACCTACTTTTGTCATATCTCTGGGTGGATGTGGGCTAGCTGAAGAGTTTACGGGAGAAGTGGGGTTTTTTCCACCTGCCACCTTCCACGCAGAGCTGTCTGGAGTCCTTCTTTAAGGTGCTAACTGCGTACTGCCTTTCTGGAGCTCTCTTGGTTCTTCCGTGACCCACAAACATTGGAACTAAATGTGTGCATGGATTAGGGATGGTTCCATGGTCCTTGCAAGTGTTGGGTGCTTCTTGCTGACTTTTGTTATTTATAATAAAAATACAAGCAGCTGTGTGGAGCTTTGCAACACAAGTTTTCCTTCCCTGGAGCTTCTGGATCAGTGTTTTGATATTGCAAGGCAAACTTAAAAACAAAACATTGAATTTACTGGAAAACCAATGAAATAAACTGTAGCTGAGACTGGCCCTAAAACAGCCTCTTCCTTGACCACCTCTGTAAAAGTCACAGTTTAAACATATCACCATTAGATTTATTTGAAATCCATGACCTCCTCTCTGGGATTATTCCTCAGTTGCAATTTTTATCTTATTTATGGGTTGACCATTAAACACTAATTCCCAAAGAACCATCTGCAGTAGTAATCCTGCAGACACATTCTCACCAGGTACCCTGCAGGGTGGGAGCCTGCACCTCCTCTCCAAAACTGATGTTTGCTTTTTAGTACACCTTGGAGTGATATTCTCAAAACCTATGTTAGCAGATAGTCTTTGTGAAAGGAAAGAAGAGGGGAAATTTATGCTGGAAAAATAGTTTTCTTCCCTAGTTACTTTTTAATCTATATCAGGAAATGGAGGTTATTTTCAGGCAAAACTCTGACTTGTAGACACAGCTAGAGTGTGTAAGTCTAGAAACCCATGCTCCAAGGGCCATCAGAAGAACCTCTGGCCACACATGCCCTGGGGAGCAATGGCCACCATGGGCTGCTGGCCAGTCTCCTGTCTTCCTATGATGTCAGGAACATTTGTATTGCTGTGCAGTGTTTCTGTATATTCAAGGTTTTGTCACACAAACTTCCCATGGAACTGGGCCCAGAAGGAGGAGGCTGTGTCTCAGCTGCCTTTGGTGGCCACTCCGTGGAAGCAAGCCTTCCATCACTCGGGCTCCTGGAGCATGTGCTCACTCACTAAAATCAATGTGGGAGAGTTGCTCTGGGATCATCCCCCAGCAACTCAGATGTAATTGCGCAGTTATTTCTTCACATGTGCATTTGTGTGCACACACAGAGACACACATGTACCAGCAGACTCAGGCACGTGATGCTCATAGAGACATACACATGAAGAGACACGCAGAGAAACGTGCAGACGCGCACAGACGCACGGAAACCTGCAGGCCCGTGCAGGCAGGCACACACACCACATACTCAGTGCACCTTGTTGTTTAGTTTTGGAGCAGCTTGTAAAGGATGCATAAAATATCTCACAAAATAAATAGTTACAAGAAAGAAAATTTGGGAAAAGTATAGTGACATCAGGTTGGAGGTAGGAATGAGTTAACAGAAAGCATCACTCACCATGTGTCTGGGCTGAGGCCTGTGTGATTATCCTGCATGTCGCAGGTGAGAGGCTGCACGCCCAGTCACCTGTCCTGGCATCTTTAGATGGTGTCTCCAAGTGAAGTGCAGGCCCTTCCGTCAGGAACCGCCCCCCAAGCCCTGCTGTGAGCAGCACCAAGCAGTGCCTGGCACGTGTCCGAGCCGCTTGGTGAGAGAACGGAATTCCTTCCTGAGGCCTCTGTGGGTGCACTTTGCACCCATAGCCTGTGTCTGGCGTCTCTCGTGTGGCCATTGGCCACACACTGTGGGCTGTTCTCTTAGGCCCAGATATGGTTTGGAGATCAGAGAGGGCATTTTAAGGAGAGATGGGGGCGGGGGGCTCATGTTGGGATACCCCCTGTGTCGCCATCTCTGCCCTTTTTGTTCAGAGCAATGATTGGTAGCCAAGAAACCTGTCCCAGCTGGCCAGCCCTGCGGTTCCAGGCATTTCCTTCCCTCTCCAGGCCTTCCCAGCCTGGCCATCTGGTCAGTAAGGGCCTGCTACTTCTTGAGCCCTTTAAGTGAGCTTGTTTTCCTGGTCAGGCCAGCCTCCACACTCACACAGTGGGAATAGAAACCACAGGTAGGACCTTAGACCAGAACAGGTGTAAGTTCTCAACTGGCAGATGTCATCTGACAGCCTGGAAAAGTTATTGTGGAAGAGCAGAAAAATGAAGGTAGCCACCTACCTAGTGAACAGGCTTCTTATGGGGCAGGTGCCTGATTAGGGTCCCGCCAGGGTCTCTGTAGCAGTCATCCTGTCTGAGGCTCCCCTGTTTGTTTAAATCCTTATCTGTCCCCACCCAACAACTGCAGTGTTAAACACATAGGATCTGAGACTTTATCCAAAACTATTGATATTACTGGTGACTGAGCTGGAGCCTCCACCTCAGGTGCCCATAGGGCCTTACTGCAGCCTGGGTGAGGAGGAGCAGAGGCCCCGGAAGAGGAGAAGGCCCGAGGCCTGCACATGCGTGCCTCGGTCTCTGAGCATCAGCTCGCTGAGCTGAGTCACAGACACAGCCCCCCAGGGGCCACGTGAAGGTGCTCAGCCGTCACACTTGGTTGTTTCCATCCAAAGCTCATCAACCACTCAGTTTCCTTTAATTAGCACAAGAGCAGATCCTGCGAATCTTTCCCAGCCTCTCCAGTGGCCCCCGCTGAATTTAATCTAGCTGATTATGGTTTCTGTTACTTAACTCTGCTGCAGTAAAGTAGAAGCAGCCAGTGACAATATGAAAACAAAGGGGTGTGGTTGTTCCAATAAAATTTCATTTATAAAACAGGTCCATGAGTGTAGTTCATCAACCCCTGTCCTAGATCATCTCATCAGTTTAACCATACACCCTTAGATCATCCTAAAACAAACACCCTTCCCACATTCTCACCGTCCTCTCTACTCTCACCTCCCAACTGCCACCCGGGAACCTCCCCCTCTAGACGTGCTCCTATCCCTATAATTCCCTGATGCCTAAGATCTACCTGTGAGGTGCTTGGAGGCTTCCACTCATGGCATCTACCTGTGATGTGTTTAGAAGGGACTGAGCAACAGGATCTAGGATGGGCGCGCTCCTGCACAGAGGTGCACACTCACAGTTGGGTTCTTTGCAGTGAGGAAGGGGAGGCCTGGGAGCTCCTGTCCAGCGCGGGACTCTGGGTGTTGACCAAGGGGTGCAGCCCTGGATGCCCATGAAGTGCTGGGTTGTGATAGGGCTTGCAGAGGTTGGCAGAGGGGCCTTGGCTCAGGAACTTCCCTAGTCAGAGACAGCAGGGGCGGCCAGGCCCAGGGACTGGGAAGTCACCTTGAATCCCAGTTCCTCTTGGCAGAATCCAGACTCAGGTCCCCAGATGCTGGAGGGGCACCCAGCAGGCCTTGTGGGGCAGAGCAGCGGGAGTGGAACCTCAGGGCCTGGGCTGTGGTCTGGAGGAGAGAGGGAAGGGCCCAGGTCCCGCCTGTTCCTCATGCCTCCTCTGATCCAGAAACGTAATTTGGAAAATCCACATGACATCACTGGAACCAGACAGGCCTGCTGCTCCCAGGAAGGGTGGAGCTGCCCTCTTGTCCCCTGGGGTGGGCCAGGACCATTGGGGCCCCAGAGATGACTCACAGGACAGCCACAAGCCCACAGCCAGTCCCAGCCTTGAGTTATACTGCTTCCTAGGTAATCGTGCTCGGGTTCTGCAATGGGGGGTTTTCATTTGTTTAGGCAGCCCCTGGGTTGGCTGGGACTGACATACACATCAGCTCCTTTAACTTGCCCCCTCTTGCGGTTGGAGGGTTTCCTATGCCCCAGGCTGATTGCACTCTCTCTGGGCAGGAGTGGGACTCCTGAATGAATGAGAGGGTGATGCATGAATGAGAACTAACTGTACCAGAAGGAAAGTGAAAAGTGAAAGTGTCAGTCACTCAGTTGTGTCTGACTCTTTGCAGTCCCATGGACTGTAGCCCACTGGGCTCCTCTGTCCATGGAATTCTTCAGGCAAGAATACTGGAGTGGGTTGCCATTCCCTTCTCCAGGGGATCATCCCAACCTGGGAACTGAACCCAGGTCTCCTGCATTGGAGGCAGATTCTTCAGCATCTGAACCACCAGCTGGAGAGAGGCTCAAGTTTGCCCCAGGTGGTCAGGAGCTGGGATCTCCCAGGTACCCCCAGCATCTGGTCTTTTGGGCCAGTGGGTCTTGCAGCCCCAACTTGGCCACCATGTCCCCACCCAGGCCCTGCTCCACTCTTGCCTGGGTTCCACACCCCAAGGATGCTAAACTCATCAGCCCCTCTTGGCCCTGCCCCACCTAACCAGAGACCCCTCCCAGGCAGGGGCCCTATCTCTCTCTGCCAGCAGTTCCTGGCCCCCTGCTCCTACCCTCTCCTGCTATAGAAGCTTGACCAAGACCCCAGCCTACCTGGACAGCGCCTTCTCTCAGAGCGTAGCTCAGACCATTCCTCCGTGTAACCCCCTGGCCCACTGGACCCCAGAGTCTCATCCCTCAGAAGGCCTGAAAAGAGGTGGGCTGCTGTCTAGGGTCTCACCCAATGCTGCTGCCTCTGGCTCTGTATCATTTCTTGAAAGTCTTGGAAAGTCCCGAATGGTAAGGTACTCGGTGTCTGATTTCACATATCCTCCTCAGACTTCGAGAACGGGAGCGGCAGGCTGTCTTCTTGCTTCTCTGGAGTAAGCCTGTCTTAGCATCCAGAGTGGGGTGCTGAGGGCAGGGGTGCTTTTCTGGGCACCCTTCACTCAGAGAGGCAGTTGAAAGAGGAGCCTGAGCAGCCGCGCCCAGCGCAGCAGCAGGAACTTCTGGGTCACGAAGGAAGCGTCCTCAGGGATGCAGCTAAGACGCCAGGCGAGGGAGTGACAGCCTCCAGTCCCTGAGGCTCAGCCCTGCAGCTTGAGGGCTCAGCCCCCCGCCCCCCACTTCACATGGGTGTCAAGGTATAAATACAGACTCCTGGGCCCCACAACAGGCCAGGGCCAGAACCCTATGGGTCCCAGAGATCTGAATCTGTAGCCTAATGATTCTGAGGCCTGTGACATGTGAACCTCTTTCTCCAGAAGCAAAAGAACCTAGCTGCTAAGACCCATCCCCCGAAGAAAGACCAACAGAAGTATTCCTTGCTCCATATGACCCGCACAGCCAGGGAGTGGTCACCCATCGTGGCAGTGTGCCGTGGCCACAGGTTTCAGGACTGGGGTCAGGGTAGAGTGGGCTAGAGAACCCACTTGCAGTAGGGAGTGGAGGGTGTGGCCTGGGGCCGCAGGGTGCGGTGGAGGGGCCAAGGGAGATTGCTGAGAAGGCAGAGAGTGGCCAGGGCCCTGGGAGGGGAGGGCGCTTCAGAGTGCTGGCCAGGGTGGACTCCTCTGAGCTCCCCCTGAGGGCTGGCCCAGAGACACTAAGACAGATAGCACTGAGCTTCTGTGGCCAGCTCACCTGCCTGGGATGGGAGACGGCTCTTGGCAGGCCTAGATGGGCCTGACGCTGGGCACAGGGGCCAGGGGCTCCCAAGGCCTGGGCCCCACCCTCAGGCAGCAGTCTGGTGTCCACTGGAGCAAGCCAACACTGTGGGAAAGCTTTGCTGACACTCCCCCCACCCTTCTGCCCCCTGGCTCTCTACCCTCCCCTAGGCAGCTGTGGCCTGGCCCTGTCTGACTCTTCTCCAGCTCCTCGCCTGTGGGGCCTGGGGTGCAGAGGTGCTGGTGAGGCCAAGGTGCTATGGGAGAGGGCCCACCCCTCTGGGACTGCGGCCCACACTGAGTGGCTGTCAACCGGCTTTCTGAGGGGACTCCCCTGGTGGTCCCTCATTCCTACGGGACGGTTTCTGTCCCTGTCCTCCTGCACTCTCTCTGTGTACCCTGTCTCGGTCACCCCCAACTACCCCACATGCCCTTACACTTTTTATTGAGGTGATCAGTTCAGTTCAGTTGCTTAGTTGTGTCTGACTATTTGTGACCCCATAGACCGCAGCACGCCAGGCTTCCCTGTCCACCACCAACTGGAGCTTGCTCAAACTCATGTCCATACAGTCAGTGACGCCATCCAACCATCTCATCCCCTGTCGTCCCCTTCTCCTTCCGCCTTCTCTCTTTCCCAGCATCAGGGTCTTTTCCAGTGAGTCAGTTAGTTGCATCAGGTGGCCAAAATATTGGAGTTTCAGCTTCAGCATCAGTCCTTACAATGAATATTCAGGACTGATCTCCTTTAGAATGGACTGGTTGGATCTCCTTGCAGTCCAATTTGTATAAAATGAAAGTAACTATTTTTAGGTAATCATTTCAAGTTCAGTGGTATTTGGTGCATTCACGGTCTTGTGAAGTCCCATCTTTATCTAGTTTCCGAACATTTTGTTACCCCCAAATAAAACACCAGTAAGCAGTTTCTCTCTATTCCTTTCCCCCTGGTCTCTGGCAGCCACCAACTTGCTTTCAGTCTGTGGATTTGCCTCCTCTGGACATTTCATATAAATGGAATCAAATAATTTGTGGCCTTTTGCACCTGGCGTCTTTCATTTAGTACAATGTTCTTGAGATCCATCCATGTTATGGCATGTGTCATATTTCATTCCTCTGTGTGTGTGTGTGTGTGTGTGTGTGTGGGTGGGTGGGTGTTAGTTGCTCAGTTGTGTCTGATTCTTTGCGACCCCATGGACTGTAGCCTGCCAGGCTCCTCTGGAATTTTCCAGGCAAGAATACTGGAGTGGATTGCCATTCCCTTCTCCAGGGGACCTTCCTTACCCAGGGATTGAACCTGGGTCTCCTGCATTTCAGGCTGATTCTTTACCATCTGAGCCATCAGGGAAGTCCTTTTATGGCTGAGTGATATTGCATTGTATGTCTTAACCACTGGTGGATAGTAGGCTGTTTGCATTTTTGGCTATTGTGAATAGTGCTGCTGTGAACAGGGTGTATATGTATTTGCTCAGGTCCGTGCTTTCAGTCCTAAGATTCCATTACCTAGGAATCCTAAGATTCCATAACCATATGCTAGATCATATGGTTATTCTCTAACATTTAGAGAAACCACCATTCTGGCTTCCCACAGTGGATGCACCACTTTACATTCTCACTAGCAGTTACACAGATTCCAATTCCTACACATTCTTGCTGACCCTTGTTACTTTCCTCCCTTTTCTGTATCTCAGCAGGTGTAAAGTAGTATTTTGTCATGGCTTTAATTTGTATGATCCTAATGACTGATAATAATGAACATCTTATCATGTACTTGCTGACCATTTGTTATGTCTTCCTTAAAGTGTCTGTTGAAGCTTTTTGCCCATTTTTAACTGGGTTGTTTGTCCTTTTGTTGGTGAATTGAAAGACATCCTTTTAAATTCTGCATACTGGACTCTTTTCAGATATGTGATTTGCAAAACTTTTCCCATTCTGTGCATTGTCTTCGACTTTATTAATAATATCCTCTGATACACAAAAGTTTATTTTGATGAAATCTTATTTTTCTTTTATTGCTTACACACCATACCTAAGGATTCACTGCCAAATCCCAGATCATGAAGATTTATCCCTGTGTTTTCTCCTAAGAGTTTTATAGCTTTACATCCATGATCTGTTCGGTTAACTGGGTGGGTGGTTAATTGAGATTGGGGTCCAACTCCATCCTTTGTGTGTGGCCATCCAGTTGTTTCTGCATCATTTGCGGATGAGATTCTTCTTTACCCCAAATGATCTTTGTATTCCTGGTGAAATCCGTTGGCCATAGAGGCTCGGTGTGTCCCTGGACTCCCAGTGCCATCCCTTGGTCCTGTGTCTGTCCCCATGCGATGACCTGCCCTGCGTTTGAACCACCGCTGTCCCCTCAGCCTCACCAGGACCCCCATTCTTCCTGGGTGTCTGGGTCCTGAGATTCTGCTCAGCTTTACCTCTGCTTTACTGTGCCTGCTTGGACCTCAGTCTTCTATCTGCAAGAAGAGGGGTTAGACTTGCTTCACTCTGAGTCCATTCCAGCTGTGGCCTAAGGGTATCTGTGCTGGCCCTTCTCTGCCACGGTTACCTGTGTCCATCCCGAGTAGTACCCCACTAATGAGGGCCCTGAGTTCTTCTCCCCCTCCCACCCTCCTCCCCCCTTATGCAGCTGGCCCTTCCTGGGCCTGGGTCCCTGCTCCATGCTCAAGGCCCAGAGCACAGGTGCAGCCACCCTCATCCATGGCCATCTTGGTTGGAAGTGTGGCCCCATCGAAGCCCTGGGGCTATGGGGAAGCACCAGCTCTGGGAATGCAGCACTTGTTGGTGAGCCCGTGTGTGCATACATAAAGGCTCAGTTCTGACAGCCACACCCACGGGCTCAGCTCCCAGCCTGACCGCTTCTGTGGTCTGACCCCGGCTGCTCACCCTGTGGTGGAGGGTGACCTAGTGCCACGAGGGGCTGAGCCCATCATTTCTACTCCCATCTGGGCCTGAGCCCCTGGGCA